GGGTCGGAAAGTGCAGAAAGGGGTGTGGCAAGGATTTTAGGATAGTGGGGGTGGAGTTCCAGGTCGGAACAGGAATCTCCTGTGGCAAGTCTCAGGAACAATTATGCAAGATGGCAAGCGAGGGTTGCGTCTGGCTTTTATGCCCTGGGGGATGTCATCGCCATCCCTGCGAGTTTCGTTGCCGAGGCTGGGTTCGGATTTGGTAAACCGATGGAATGTTATGCGTGTCGCGTTGCCTAATTAATCGTTGGTGTCGCTCGCGACAAGCCTCAAAGTCGGACGAAGCGGGCCTCAGGCGTGACTGTGCGTTCGCTGCTCAGCCTCAATCCGGGTTCATCGAACGAACCCCGCGGCTCGATACTCGCTGTCTTGCTGGCACTCGGAGCATAGGGTTCGAGGCCAGTAGGGGGTGAGTGCGTGCCACGGGCCCGCTGTCAGCCAGTGAAAAGGCAACACAAGGCAGTAGGGAGGGAAGTCTGTCTCAGTGGTGACAACACTAGGTTCAACGATGACATGGCTCGCGTGTGAGCTGGGGAATTGGGAGGGAAAAGGGATCTCGCTTAGGGCCCGTTCAATGTCCCACTCACAGACATGTTCGTTTTCAGTCCGAAAGGGGAATTTCAGAGGGTTGGGTCTGGGTCGTGCGAGAAGACAAACGTTTTTCCACTCCCAGTATTCTTGGAACCGTCGATGTCTCAGGCTCTCCCGATCCGTGACGTGGAAGGGAGTCCCATCATCCATGTTGTTTGAAATTTGCGAGTTTAGACATGGATGCGAGCGTGGGTATCGCAGACACGTGTGTAGAAGACGACCCTTTTTGGTCGAGCCTACACATATGTGTACGAGATCACGTTCGCAATCGGTTGGATCGGATCGACTGCTATCCTTTGGTCGGGTGATCATCTAATCAGTCGACATGCCAGCCTAACACGTGGAACGTACGCTCTCGAGTACGCGTGTCCAGAGACAGACATCAGGAAGACAATCAGAGGGTAATCACACATTTGAATCAACCATCCACTTATCAGCCAAAGCATGCATCAGCAAGGACTCCCGAATTTTCGTTAGACTTTCCTTTCAATCCAAAAAAGGAACGGGGAACTGACATGCATACATGTGATCCGACAGTGATAGCGTCAACAATCGGGTGATTGGTCCGCCCGATAACTTAGTTCCGAAGATGCATTTTCTAAATACTTATGCGTTAATCGAACTCGAGGGCCGTGCGAATTTTCAGAAAAGCATAAACGAGAGGTCGACAAAGGTTTATGCATCAAGCCATGTAACCGAAGAATTCACATCATCATAACCCAAACTCACCGAGGTCATACACAATCAATCGTCGTACCCGATCTCAACATAAACATAGGATTCGAAAAAACCTATCAAAAAAATTGTTAGGTTTGCACAAAAAAATTGTAAAGATTCTGATAGTACATTTTTTATTTTTTCAGGCCTCCTACAAGGAAAAAATTATATATGAAGTAAATTAACCGCAAAAACCGAATAGAAAAATATTTTTTCAGAACCACTGGAAGTGGTGAGGAGAGAAACAAGTTTTTTTACAAAACGTCACTACCTTGCAAAGCACTGTTAGATCACGAACCGAAATATCCCAATTTTTTATTTATCTAAAAAAATCTAGGTAGCATGGGTTATCTAGCCGGATAATCTGGTCGGATTATCTGGCCGGATGATCGGGGGGTAGGATCATCCGGAAATCCGGATGATTAAAAAAAAAGCCTAAAAAAAGCAAAAAAAAAAAAAAAAAAAGTGATATTGCGCATGCAAAATACAATAGAACTATGTTCCTATT